TTGACTGAACATGTCTGGAGGTCATCAGGCGTGGGTGTGGTCAGTGAAAATAACCTCAGCTTTTCCCACAAATGTGATTAGCTGCAGTTAATTTATGATTTAACAAGCGTTGCAAGATTTTTATTCACACAGGGCCAGGTAGCTTTTCATACTGTATTTGTTTTCCCCCCTTAATAAATAAAATCTCCATTTGAAAACTGCATTTGATGTATTTACGTGGGTTACCTTTGTCTGACATTGACATTCATATTTACAATAGAAGCAGTAATATCTTCACGGCATTGAAATGAATGGCAAGTTGAAAAACTGCCAAGGTCATGGCTGGGTGGATTGTCGGGGGGGGCCGAGGGAAGCTTCCTGTGTCGCGTTTGTATGTTCTCCCCGCGCCTGTGTGGATTTTCTCTGGGTACTCTGGTTTCCTCCCACATTCCAAAAACATGCACGGTAGTTAAATGAAACATTTGAAATTGCCCTTAAGTGTGACTGTGAGCGTGAATGGTTGGTGTTTGTGTGTGTGCCCTGCAATTGCCTGGTAACCAGTTCAGGGTGTCCCCCGCCTACTTCCCGGAGACAACCGAGATAGGCTCTAGCACACCCGCGGTGAGGATAAACAGATTAGAAAATGAATGGATGGCTGCATCTTATGATCGCATTTGGATGACTGAAATGTTATTTGACAATTCCCCACAGAGTTAATATATATGATGTGATATTATTTCCGCTTCCGTTGTTTTGTATGGGAAAAGCTGTTTTGCAATCCGGGTCAGAGGTGAAACAATGTCATGGAACTGTTCGGGTTTGAATTTAGAGATTCCACTCATTACTTGTGCACTACAACATTAGAACATAAATTACAGGCCATATCCAATTCACAATTAAGTGAGGCAGTGCGCGCGGGTGTGTGGGTGTGTGTGGTCCTTGCCATTCTACAGGTACGTGTGTATTGTACTGCTTGTCATTGCTCTGTCACTACAGGCTTTCGACTCAGACAGGGAGGAGCAGCAGGAAGCTGCCCGCTGTCGACACCCACGATTTATGACACCTTGTCTTTCTTTGAAGAAGCGCTCCTGTTTGTACACACTTACTGCCTAAGCCAAGTCTCACTCGGCCATAAGGGGGATATCAATGTCACTCAGATGAGTTTCGACTGAAACGGCGACACTGCACACGTTGTACGCTCCTTTCTAGAAGAACGGATATTTACGTTTCGGATGACATGTGCAATGGATGTAGACATATAAATTCAGTATTATTCTTGAAAGCTGCATGTCAATACTCTTGCGCAATGTTATTTTAAGCAAGGACATGGAGTTGTGGCGGGGTTTACATTACAAGTGACCTATGGCTGAACCCCGAAGACACAACCACTCCTTGTATTTTGAATGCGCACGCGCGCGCACACAAACGCCGACGCTAATGTGTTATCGGGCCAAAAACCCCATTCACCCGAGAGACACGGGGAGTTCAGAAGTGATCAGGAAGTTTCCGAATATGGAGAAAAGAAATAGCACACGTTTGGGAATAAGGCTACAGAATGGATGAATGGAAAATAACATCAAATTGGTCGTTAGAGTTGAAAAGAAAACGAGGGAGAAGGAAGGATAAGAAAGAAGAGCTCAGGAATGACCTCTGCCTGAACTCAGTGGTGAACTACTGCCTCCATGTACTCCAGTTAACCTATCACACACCCGCACACTCGCACGCGCACACACACACACACACACACACACACACACACACACACACACACACGCACACGCACACACACGGAGTTTAGACTTATATAATGGGGACCAGGATAATATGTGTTTCCAGTTAAGCTTTGAAAGTATGAATGGCCGCTGATCCCAGTATTAGTCATGTCAGCACTGACTCCTGTCTCTCGCTTGCTCGCTCGCTCTCGCATAATACACACAACAGCACGGATGTTTGATAATTAGGCGGTACTCATTGTAAACAAATGGGGCAATTGAATCAAAATTGGAAATGGAGAACAATGAAATGATATTGTTCACCTGAACGGAAATGCATTTGACATCAGGTTCAGAGTAACACATTAAACCTTTTCATAACACGATGAGCCGTCCACTGTCGTAACGGCTGTCCCTCAAAAGGTTAAAATCATTCTTCATCTAAAAATGATTGATTCTTTTGCGTTTCAAAACTGCGAAACGTAAATCGGCTAATAATTTCAATATGGCTGGAAAGGCGCCTCCAATTTTCTCCTCTAACAATACATTGGGGCAGGAATTTCTTGGCACAAGATCCCTCTGTTCTTCAAGCAAAAATTTGATGACAAGAGCGAATATTATTATACAGTACATGGATATTGAATGAATCCATAATAGCTGTTGGATGAAGTATTTTGCAAACGTGAACCAACCGGGACCATTTATGGGGTTACGTTAAGTTTAAGAATAGTGCAAGATAGGTATGGGTCTTTTTATCAAGTTGTTGTGTGTGCATATCACTGACGAGTGTAGTTTTCCTCGTAATTGATAAATGCATGAATACAAAAAAAAGAACACAACTCAGTGCAAACCAAACTACAATACTGTAGTTTGGTCGTGGTCTATGCCGTACTGACCAAGGTTATAATAGTTTTTCACTGTAGTTTGTTTTATAGTTGTAGTTTTGTTTTGTTTTAATTAGTTTTACGAATATTAGTGTAACGTCCGAGTTTAGAGGCTTTATAAATCGCTCCAACAATGATAATTTAGGACCGACTTGGGAGTGCCGCGAGTTTATCGCCGTTTTCTTTTCAACACGCGACAACAACCTTCACTTCGTCGCCTTCTTCTTACGTCACCACAAACTAGGCATGACAAGCAGAGACCAGAATACATGACCCACTCTTGAGCCTACATTTTATTTTTTTTTTTTATGAGTATTTACTTTGATGCAAGGTGTCTGTCTGTGAAGGTTTCCCGGTCCGATCCCAAGTTGGAGTAATGAACTGGTATGAGTGCGATTTGTCCACATCATTTTTCGACTCTTTGTGATCTCTTGTTCCTTTCCTTCCTTCAGGCAGGAGGCAGAAATGTATTTTCTCCAATATCAAAGCAGAACAGCACTCAGAGAACTCTTGCTAGGCTCCTAACAAAAGCGGACCACAAAATAAATATACGCCACATTTATTCGTATTATTTGTCATCTTTACTACACAAGAAATAACATCAATAATATTTCAAATGGAAAAAAAAAGTGGTTATATTTCGTGAAACTTCTAAATTTCATCAATTTTATTTGGTTTTGTAGCCCTTTTTTGGGGATTACCAAAACTAGCATAATTCAATAACATGGCGCAAGGAACAACAGAATGACACTGCCATCCAGTGGCGATGATGTGAAAGTGCAAGTGTGGAGCTTTTGTCCTTTTTTGGGGGATTACCAAAACTAGCATAATTCAATAACACGGCGCAAGGAACAACAAACAGAATGACACTGCCATCCAATGGCGATGATGTGAAAGTGCAAGTGTGGAGCTTTTGGAATATAGTATCGACTCGTCTTTGAAACGCAAACATTTCACACATCAGACGTCATTTTCATGTTCATTAATGTATTTACACATTTTATAAATCTTTTTGGGATTATACTAAATGAACAAGCGTTCGTGCCAATTGAATCTGCCATGTCACCCTCTCTACTAAATCACATGACTGTAAACTCATCCAAAAGAAGACAACATTTTTGGTTTGATAAATCCATTTTAATGGAAAATGTAAAACCCCATTTGGACTTCATTTTACAAAGCATGATAACACATTTGAAAATTTTAAATTGAAGCAAGACGTGTTTTATAAAAATACCTCAGTCAATGTATATATGTATATATTTACACTTTGTTAGTTTTTTTTTAATTACTGTATCTTTTAACTTCAGAAGTTCAACATAGTAAATCTCAAAAAAAAAGGAAAATGAATTATTTTCTTAAATAAATTACATCTTTTTTGTAAATGTCTGTTTTACAGGGAATACTTTTTTTCATAAAATGCAAAACTGTATGAGCAACAATTTTTTTTCTGTACATAATACAACTTTAGACAATCTTTACAACAGTTTGGCAGTTTATCTTCAAAAATGTATTTATGGCATGAGGACATTAGCATTTTCCAAAGTTACAGGCATTAGCTGGTGCATGTGTGTGTGTGTCCTCCATCACAGTAGAACCGTTTAACAACTGAAAACCATGTAGAGCAAAACAAAGGGAGGGGAAAAGGAAACAACTGTACAAGTCACATTTACATGAATGCTTTTTTTTTGTCTCATTAAACATCACATTTACACAAAACTACAAAATAAATACATCTTCACAGAGGAAAAACAAAGTGACGGAACCAAAAAAAAAAAAAAAAGAAGGAACAAACAAAGGGGCTGCTGACTCGACGGCTGATGATTTTTGCATTGCATTTTCTCCCCTCACATTTTTTTTCATTTTTTAGGGGGAGATCCCCCCCCCCCCCCCCCCCCCCCCCCCCCCC